CAGTTATTTTTTGTAATAAATACAGTATGAAAAACTTGTGTTTTTCGGCTATGTAACAGTCAGCGTTAAAAACATGGGAAAGCCGAAAACCACATTGGACGCGCGATAAGAAAGGTATATGAATAAAAATACACATAAAATTAGACTTTTCAATCGTTAAAAATAATAAATTTTACTTTTTATAGTAAAAAATAATCTAGCAGTTGTTTTATATTTATATGCTATATATATGGCAGTCCATTTAACGGGTGTTTCAAAAATGATTTCTTTATTGCTCATCTATCAGCTTGCCTAACAATACACAGATGGAACATCACATCTTCCTTGTCTCATAAATAACTTGGAAGAAAAAAGCCTTGGTGTGAGTCACTTGTTAGGGACATTGACCTTGGTCAGAAGATGACCCCTATTGTTTTTGAGGTCAGTAGGTTAAAGTCAACTTGGCCTTTGATGACAAAATTGAATTATATTATCAAGCAATGTATACTTCAGTACTTTCAGTGCTTTGATTTTAAGATTGCAACCCGTTTTGCACACATTTATACACCATAAATGATTAAATTACAGCACGCTTACCATTTTTGTACACATGTTAGTACACTAAATTATTCAAATCAATATACTAGTGTAACCCGTTTCTCCACTTGCGTTTTTAAGCTAAATAGATACACATCGTTACACCCTAAATAGATTATATTTAATATGTTTTTGAACACCTAAATACACTAAAATATTCATATTAAGAGTGCAAGCCGTTTCTGTAAAAATATTCATACACTTGACAAATACTATATCAAAGTGCAACCCCTTTTATATACACACTAATAATTAATATAGATTTAATTTACGGGTGCAACCCGTTTTTGTACACGATAACTAACTTGTTTAAAATAGAAAATATAGATAAACTTTCTTCCTCAAGAAATTATCTTTATTTCCTTTGACTGTAAAATTTACATTGTTTTGTACTTTCATTTGATTTTTAAAGGCATAGAAACTGACAACTTCTTAGTGACAATGGATTTTAATCAAAACAAAATGTACCAGATTCAAATTGGCACCGGTAACGTCAGCAGAATACCATTCGCTAATTTAAATATTGCTGCGGCTTTACATATAAATCCATTAACAAAAACCCTATATTGGAGCAACGATTTTGGTAGAGTTATCATGAAAGCGCAAGTGGATGGTTCCAAAGAGGAAGTTTTCAAACCAATGTCAAGTGGTACAATTTACATTTTATCCTTGATTTTATGTCTATATCTAAAACAAGATTAAAATATCTAAAACAATAATAAAAAACTACCTTTATATTCATATTGTTTTACAAAAATATAATATAATGAAGATGTGGAAAGTAAATTTCAATTATTTCTGTGAAATATTTTGAAGTCTAGTGGTTAAAGGCCTAAGGTGCATGTCTTCACGTCCGCCTTTTTTATTCCATTGGTCATTATACGTATTTCCTGTAAGAATTTTAACAATTCTTTTTCAATTGTCTATATCAAACCAGATCTGTGCATATACAGCATTTATAATCAAGCCACTTAACATTATGCATACGAGTGTTAAGTTTGCATTTTTACAAGCATTGTTTGAATTTTTATTATATTAATTTTTATTAGATTAATAATTGTGCACACAAAAAAGACGTGGATGTCGACGACCCATTTGTCATTATATATGCATGTCCCATTAAGTGTACATTGTTTGACAAAAGGACTAACCCACAAGCTCTTTCGATGATAAAAATACATTGAAGTGAATTCTTATTGTTTAGCATTTCCATGGCATCAATTATATTTCGCATATGATGTTGATATCATTCAGATTCAAAAAACGAAAGACCGATATATTTTCTCACGTTTGGAAATTATAGTTCTTGCTTTTTAACGCACTTGACATTATCTCTCTGTTCCCATGAAAAACGTAGATATTATTAGTTTAAAGATTATATGGCAGTATATAAACGGTAGTTTGCATACATAACACATTATATTGCACACAGCCGTTAATGTGCGCCATACAACCTGCCAGTGAACTTAATAACGAATTTATAATGCAGCAAACTTCCTTTTTTAGAGAACAAAAGTAAGATTTCTTCGTAAATTGACAGCAGTAATGTTTATATATAACTATATCAACGTTACGATCGATGTTGCAAACGCGCAGTGACTGTACTATAAAATTTCACAAAACATATGTTTTCTCCGCAGGATTCTCACATGGCATCGCTGTTGACTATATAAATCAGTTGCTCTTCTACACAAGCGATTACAAGGTCATCGGAGTTGTCTCGCTGAAAAATAAAAACATTTCTAAAACAATCGTTAGCGAGTCATTAGACTATCCAGTTGAAATAATCGCGCACCCGGAGAGAGGGTAAGTATGTTTGATTGTTCACAACCGATAAAACTTCGTGTTTTGATATTAGTTTTATTTAATGGCGTAACATTGTTATTTCTAGATTTGTATAAATAAACAAAATATTAAATGGATAACACTGATGCATAAACCGCTAATTCGCCGCTTTTTTTCTAAAATATTTGCACACGTTTGCAAGTTTGTTTGTTTTTGGTTTTACGTCACATCGACACAGTATAGGTCATATCGCGACGTTCCAGCTTTTCAGGCACGAACAGGCACCCGAGTAGAACCACCGACGTTCCGTAAGCTAGCTGGATAGCTTCCTCACATGAAAGAATTCAAAGTCCTGTCGGGATTCGAACCCACAGCGGTGAGGGGCAAGTGATACGTTTGCAAGGATTCTAACTTTTTATTACGTTATTATTTTTTTGTAATAAGAAATTTATTTTACACATTGAGATATGTTATAGACCTAAACAATAAATAATCTGTTTCGCATGATTATGTTCGACATTTTTTTTTCGAAAACACATATATTTTATATATATTTATTTACCCTTACCATTTTAAGTCTGACCAAAACCATCTTTTGGAAAATTTCAAAATAACGTACTTACTGAATTGGGATCATTTCAGACCAAGATCAGACAGCACATCTGTGCCGACTGATCTGAAGCTGTAGTGGTCGCATTTGGCAGAAGTAGTTGCCACTAGTAAGTTTATGATTAATCAAATAAACGGGAAAGTTTTGAATCATCTTCACATATTGTTTTCCACCAAAGAGCAATATACTGGTCAGACACGGGCAGACAGCCAAGGATAGAGACATCAACCATGGACGGTGGTAACAGAAGTATCATTATGTCGTTTGAACCGAAGTCACGGCCTACAGCTCTTGCTTTAGATGTGAAAAGTAAGTACATTGAATTTTATATTTGAAATGTACATGTAAGGATAGCCATTCGATATACTCATAATGAATATTTAAGTATTTAATTATACGATATGAAATCCGATTTTTTCTTTGTGCTAGTCATTCTACAGGAAACACTTGATGACATTTTTACATACTTTTTGAAATTACATATGTTTGTAAAGAATCGTGTTTTGAAAAAAAACATACAAAATTAAAAACCAATACAGGATCAAGCTAATTGTATCGTGAAAAAGTATTGCCATTTACTTGTTTTATTTATTTTACAACAACATCCTAAAATATATTGTAATGCTTTAATATGAAATTATGAAATAAGGTGCTACCTTTAACTCGGAAATACCTTGTTATTTAATAACAAACAAAATTGGCAATATACAAATTAACGGAAGCTAATTGAGGCCGTTTTGAGTTAGAAGATAGGACTAAGATGTAAGATGTTGGAACTTAGATCTTAGGTTTTAGTACTTAGAACTTAGAGGTTTCGTAAAGGCGGGAAACACCATATTAACTGCAAGATAGTCAAGAAGATGTAAGTGAGATTTATAAACCTTTTATTATATTTCTTCAATTTTATCTTTAATTTAAAGAATTGCAAAAATATAGCTATTACGGTAAAAGATATATATCTGTTGACGATATTTGTGTATTTTCCCAATTGTGAAATTTGGAACAGTATTTAAAATTGTGGCGAAATTTAATAACTTTCAGTTTTAGGACTGGAGAATTCTGTTTCTTTGCCACTCTGGAATTTATTTTATTTTAAGTAAAACACAATAATTTCTTGTTAACTTTCTTTATTTTATAATCCAATTATTCTATTTTATTTTACAGACAATATCCTGAATAATCCTCATATGTAATTTTCTCTTAACACAACTAAACTCAACGTTAACGTCACTTATTGAGTCACAAATATCATTCTGACGTTCACTACCACTATTGTTTATTTCAATTGGAACTTCAACATCCTTGCACTCAACACTTGCCTGACAATCATTTACGTCTACGTCTCTGACGTTATTTCTACTGACGTCATCATACTGACTGTTGTTTGTTTCATCAAGCATGTTCAAATCAAAACTGTCTAAAACTGGCCCAAAGTCGTTGTGTGTGTCGTTGTATGACAATAAATCTAATATAGAATCATCGTCGCTGACGTCATCGTAGTATGAGTTCTGTGAATACGCGTTTCCTCTGGTGGCTGATATAGCAGATTCACGTGACTTCAATGATGTGTAGCCATGTTTTAGTATCAAATGTTTGCACAAATATCCCCGACGAATGAATTTGGATGTGCATTCCTCAACAGGACAATTCCAATGTTCAACCTCTCTGTGTCGTTCTTTAACATGTCGAAGTAGATTTCTCTTATACTTATACATCTTTTGACAAGTATCGCATTGATACATTTTAATATTTTTGCGATTTTTCTAATATTTATCTGTAGGTGTCTACTGTGAAATGATGACACAATACAAAGTTTCTTCTTATTTTATATGCTATTTCCATGATTTGCACGATTTTTGCGAGAAAAACTTTGGGTAATTTTACACAGTAACTATGCTCCGTTGAGGTTATTTGTACATGTGAGTCTTGCGTAAACAAACAAATATCCGGCGGAGCATTCACAGTGTACAATCGTTAACGTTAAAGTGAACATAGTTTTTAATTAAACTCCGCCTTAACTATTCACTTTTTATTCGGATAACTGTTGTTTAATTGCTTTTAACGCTTTTGATGCTGCAGAACGTACATTACGTTCGGACATCTGATAACTTTGCATCTTGTTTTTGTTTCTGTTTGAACGTATTAATTGCTCTTCAAGCACATTTTCATCACTTTTTTCTTTTGTAACTATATCATTTTGAGTCGTTTCAATGGGAAAAAGTAAATTCATTGGACGATTCAGAACATTTCCTGAAGCCAATTTAATTTGACATGATCTTATAGCACCATCTCGACTGACATTTAACTTCTCAATTTTTGCCAGTTTCCAGTTGCCTCGAGAAAAGTTTTCTTTTACAATAACAATATCTCCAATTGTTGGATTTACAGGCGACTGAATACGACTTGCTTTCAAACGTGTTTGCATTCTTTCTCGTAAGCTTAGTAAGTAATCATTCTTCCATATTTGCCAAAATTTATTTAAAAGTTTTTGACCTTTCTTCCAAATTTTCAACAACTTTTCCGAAGAGCTTTCTGTTGGCAAATATTCACTGTCATTTTCGTCCGAAACTTGTGGAATACCGATCTTTGGATTCAACGTAAGAAAATGACTCGGTGTTAATGCAATTGTAGAGTTTACATCATCACCAATATAGACTAAAGGTCTTGAGTTCACTACGGCTTCAATTTCTTTGATAAGTGTTTGAGCTTGAATGATAGTTAAGAGTTTTCGCCCCACAGCTTTTCTGAATGATCTTTTTACAAGACCGACTAGCCTCTCGTAAAATCCTCCCATCCAGGGCGCGAGCTCTATTATAAACTTCCATTGGATGTTTGCATTTGCAGAGTAGCTTTGAACTTCATGACTATGTAATATACAATGCCATATCTTATCTATCACTAAACTAGCGGCTTTAAACTGCTTTGCATTATCACTAATTATATGCGATGGAGTACCTCTTTGAGCTATGAAACGACGGTAACCTAAGAGAAATTCTTCTGTGGTCATGTCACAAACTAGTTCAAGGTGCACAGCACGAGTTACTAAGCACAGAATCTTTGTCTCGTTGTTGCAAGCGTCTGCGAAACACCGCTATGTAGTAGTTCTTTATGCGTTTTTTCCACAATCAATTCAGTAAAATGATCGTTCCTTGGAAGAAGTATTGGTTGTCTGGCACCTTCACTTAAATTCGCATTTTCAAGCCTTCCAGTGCATCTTAATAACCCTTGTTCGTCAAGAAATAGCCCTAATTGTTGTTGTCTATTTGTACCTTTTTTAGCTCGAATAGAATTGATGTCACTTTGAAAATGAGTTTCTTGAATATGCTTAATCCACATGTTCTCAGCTTCTAACAATTCTTCACATTCTAAATAATCATATTTTCTTTCAACTTTCTTTAGTTTCTGTATGAATCGCAACACAAAAGCGGTTACTCTTAGCAGTCTTGTAAGAGAAGAAAATCTTTTACTGTCAATGTCAAATGGAGGATTATTACTATGTTCTTCCGCATTAATTTTAGTTTGCATTAACATTGTCTCTTTTTTGTCTTGTTTGTTTGTTTGTTCTTCCATTTCAACTATTTGTGAGCTATCATCGTTTTTTTGATAATCGGTTGGCCAATCAGAGGTAGGCTTCAACAACCATTTAGGACCGTGCCACCAATTAGAGTCAGTTGCTAATGTTTCCAGTGTTGTCCCTCGGGATGCAACATCTGCTGGATTTTCTTTACTTGGTATGTATGTCATGTTAACATCAATGTGCTCTTTGATTTCACTGACTCTGTTCTTTACAAATAACGGTAATTTCTTATCCGACGTAACCCATTGTAAAACACATTTCGAATCTGTCCATAAAAATTGCCTTTCAATAGGCACTCTTAATTGCTCTTTAACAAATTTTAAGCACCTCAGTCCGATCAGAACTGCTAGAAGCTCCAACCTAGGAATTGTTAGTTTCTTAATAGGCGCAAGTCTTGTCTTTGCAAATATTACATTTACATCGGTTGTATTTTTCTCTGAAACATGCAAATATATCACTGTTGAGAATGCCTTTTCCGATGCATCACAGAAACATAACAATAAGTATTTCTTAGAATGTCCTGTGAACGCACAAACGCATCTTTGAAATTGCAACGTGTCTATTTTGCGAATATCTATTAAAATAGACAACCATTTTTCTTGATCTTCTTTAGTCAAATTGTCATCCCAGTCGATGTTTTTCTGCCATAATGATTGAATAAACACTTTTCCTCGTAAGAGTACTGGTAATAGCAAGACAAGTGGATCAAAAACCGACGAAATTGTTTTCAACACAGTACGTTTTGTCCACTCCGGTTCATTTGATTTGTTTTTTGGACCTGCTATTGTAACTGTATCTTCATTGACATTCCAATGATGTCCAAGTACTTTAACACTTTTTGTATCGGCTCTGTCTTCCTTTGGAATGAATTCATTTACAAAATCACTATTGGTAATCCATTCCCGTAAATTCATCGAGGCATCTGCAAACATTGCCTTTGAATTTGTATATAGCTGTATTGCTTCACTTGTGTTTTCAGCTCCGGTGATAACATTGTCTACATAAATGTTGTTTCTTAGATTTTCTGCAACTGGATTTTCATAACATTTTAAATGGAAGTCTACCGTTGCTCCTAATAAGAACGGACTACTGATTACTCCAAAAGGAATCCTACAAAATCTGAATTCTTGTATATTGTCAGTAACTACAGTAGGATTTTTACAGTCTTTCAACCAAAGAAATCTTGTGACATCACGCTGACTAGGTTTTAATCCAATTTGCAAAAATGCTTTTTCTATATCGGCAACGATTGCTATTGGATGCATCCTGAATCGTAGTAACATACCACAGAGGTCCTGTAGCATTACTGGTCCCCTATACATGCACTCATTTAGACTTTTATTTTCTTTTCTTGTTCTCGCCGAAGCATCGTATACTACGCGTATCTTAGTTGTTGTTTTCTGCGGTGTGATAATAGCATGGTGTGGCAAATAATGTACCAAACCATCTACTGGTGATTTTTCAACTTTCTCTATAACACCTTTACTTAGCTGATCTCTCATAACTTCATCATATTTCATCATTAACTCAGGTTTTGTTTTTAGTTTATTAACACAGCTTTTTAAGCGACCTATTGCCAAGTCCCTGTTCACAGGTAAATCAGGAAATTCTTCAGTCCAAGGCCACGTGACTTGGTATCGGCCATTTTCAAACTGGATTGTATCCTGAAACATTTTCATTGCATGTTCATCATCTGAAATATTTTGTTTTTCTATAATACCTATTGACTCCACATTCCAAAAGTCTTCTAAATTTGGTTTCACAGGTACAACACTATCCACATCGGCAAATAAACTTGTATTTGTTGCATTATTACCATGCGTTAGAATAAGCATACATGGGCCATCGCTATCTTGATCAGAGGTTCTTCCGGTAAGGATCCATCCTAACTTGGACCCAAGAAGGAACAAACCAGGATTTAGTTCGATCTTTTGACACAGAATAGAATCCAAATAATAGTCGTTACCAGCCAGAGCTGCATCAGTACTAAGGGTGTAGTATTTAAGTACCAGTACCAGTACTTGGCAAATTATGCAGTACCATTACCAGTACCAGTACTAGATTTTAGCTCGGTACTGCAGTACCAGTACTTTTTTTGGTGAAGTAATTAAGTATCAGTACCATTACTTTTATATATTCATCAAAGTTTGAATAAATACAGTGTCAAACAAATAATAGCAAATATTATTCAGCAAAGAAATAAAATCATTATTTACTTAAAAGCTGCATGCCTCCAGATGACCCAAAATATTTCAACAAAATTAAACTTGGAAATAAATTACTAAAACTTTGAGAAAGGAAACAAATTAAAAATTCAAGTGATAAATTATATCTTATGTGCAATTAATGACTGTATTTTGTAGTATTTATCACCATATTTCTACTGCGTTACTAAAGCAGTAGGGGCTATTTATGCATGTTTTGACCTTTTTTTGGTAATTTACGTGGATTTTTAAGTGCGGATTGTAATGTGTCAAGTACTTTCTTTGTTCATTTAACAATATTTTACCTTTAAATACATTTTCAAAATTTTCATGAAAACTAGGATGAATCTGGAGGCGTGCTGCTTTAAAGTTAACATAACATATTTACAACTTTATAGTTTTAACATACTTTTTACAAACAATATTTACAACATAATTATATTCATGTCATATCTAATTGTTTAGTAAGTTTAACCAGTCAACTGTATAAAAAAATGCAAACATCTTTCATTTAAAACACAACAGTCTTTTGTTGCCTTTCACACCTTCACACCTCTGTTCAATTTAAACCAAAGTAAATAACAACTTTTTATTGTGCTAACAATATCACTTTTTTCACTTGAAATGGGATTTTTTAGAATAGAAGAAATTAATTAGTGTTTATTTTGCTTTTTACTAGTAAATACAAAGTAATAAAAGATTTTAATAAGGATATTTTAGGGTAAAGAGTTATTGAGTCTGTTTATCTTAATTTAATTTTTACTTAAAGTCTTTGGTGCTTTTTATGATGAATACTATGTTAACATTTGAAGGAATATTGCAGCAAATTATCTTAAGATTTGATAACTTACTTTTTCACAAAAATAAAATATAGTTAATGTATTTTACAGCTTTATTTTATGAGAAAAATTGATGTTATTTTTAATTTTTATCAAAACCAAAAGTACTGGGTAATGCAGTAGCAGTACCACTTTTTAAGACAGTAATGCAGTACCAGTACCAGTAGTAGCAAAATTTTGTAAGAGTAATTCAGTATCAGTACCAGTACTTGCAAAATCGCTGCAGTACGTACTGCAGTACCAGTACCAGTACCAGTAATGCAGCTCTGTTACCAGCTAACATTTCTATTGATGATGTTTCGTTTCTAGTTGGTAATTTATCAGCTAAATCAACACTTCCAATAATATGTTTAACGTGCTCCTTATTCAAAACGCCTGCTGGACTTCGATGCAAATTGCCACTTATTGTCGGAACTATGTTCACACTGATTGAATGGTATTCACCATTTTTCAGTTTAACATCAATGTTAGCACATTTTGTTTTGATGCATTGTGTACTATTATTACCAAACGTTACAAGTTTTATTTCCTGTTCTCCCGTTACTTTGAGATGTAACTTTCTTGCTAAGTTTTCAGTTATATATGTCCGATGAGATCCAGAGTCCAACAAAAGTCTAACAGACTGTGTTGCAGAGGTATCTGGATTTTTAATATCTGTAATCGCCGTCTGCATTAGAACCATTTCATTTGACGACACGAGAACATTTTCCTCAGAATTTTCAGTCTCTTTATATTCTGTTTCTTCGTTTGCTAAATGCGTCATTGATTCCTTCACCTTGAATTTTTGAGGACACAAACTTCTGTGATGCTTGTTCACTTCACCACAGTGTGCACAAATTTTGTTTTTCTTACATTCACTTGATTTGTGACCTGTCTTTAAACACTTGAAGCAGCTGTCTTTCAATTGCTGTTTTCTTTCATTTATAGTTCGGCATTGTGTGCACTCATCGCTCCAATGTTTCTGCTGACAATAACGACATTTATCTGCATAATTTTCAGTCTGTTGTCTTTGTGTAAGTTGCTTAGGGTTATTCACTGTAAGCACATGAGCAGAACTTGAATAACTTCTTGATTGTGCTGATTTCGAATAACTCCTCGGTTGGGGTGAATTTGTATTATTTCTTGACTGAGCTGAATATGTATAGCTCCTTAGTTGAGCTGAATTTTGCTTGTATTCTGATTGAATAGACGATGCATGTATTCTCTTTTCCAACACATTATCTTTCTTTTCTGCTCTTTCCCTGGCAAGTATATACATGTATTCATTCAATAGTTTTCGAAGCTTGTCTATACACCACTCATTGTTTGACCCATTTAATATTTCTAACTGGACAAGAACTTCCTCAGGTAGTTTAGCTCGTATCATTGACACAAACACAGCTTGATC